GTCGAAATTGTCGTTCGGAGTACGCATAAATAACCCACCAATAAACACGATGGGTACCTAAAAATGTAACTGCCATAACATGAGACATTTTCATTAATAATTTACGGGGCGGGAGAATCAAGACACCTTGACTTATCAGTTATCACCCATTAAAACTCCTAATGACGTAGCGATAACAGCCGATCGCCGATAACTGTGGGCAAACATATAATAATTTTCTGTTTCTCTTATCAATTTTCATCAACCTGCAGGCCGGATACCGCTGTTTAGGATTTTAATTTGGAAATTGAAGATCCGATCGGTTTTCTGCTGTTTGTGTAGAAGTAGCAGAAGACCCACCTACGACCACCTGCAGTTTCAGAAGACAACCCGCCCATATTGAGTATATAGGTATACCTATATGTGTAATTAATTTTATATTCCTACCTGTTGTTTATTATTGAGTATAAGTTATGATAAAATTGCCACCACGAGTTGATCAAAATCGTTATCCGCGAGTTGCGATACGTTTCGCTAACCGTTACGTTTTTTTCGTCATCCGCCAATCGTCGTATGCGCGTGCGCACTTCGATGGCGGCCATTTTGTGCGGCCGGCCGGTCTTTCCGGCGGCAGTGTAAACAATAGTATTCCAATGTTATTTAATTATTTTATTATATACATAGGGATTTCTAGGGAGATACTTTATTCAACACTTTTTTGTTTGAAAAGCTTACAATTTTATGTATTATCTATCAATCTTGCCCATATATCTACATAGGTACGCGTACACATTTATACATAACTATACCTCCACACCAGGGAACTGAAACGGCTTAATTATCACCACTACTGCAGGAAATGTTTTCTACCTTAACGCTCATTCCCCCCTGCAGCACCCCTTCGCTCGCACTCTCTGCAGTGTATACAAGTTTGTGACGACTGATCTCGTCGTGTGGAGCCGTTCATTTTACCTGTATATATTTAAAGAGAATTTAAAAAAAATAATTTTCTCAATTAATCGTAACAATATTATGATGACGCGTCTCGAAGAAAACAGAAACAAATATCGATTTGTATTCATAAGACAATACGAAAAATGTCATACCAATTATCTCGCGAGGTTGCTTACAATTATACCCCCCCCCCCTCACTAAGATTACGGACTACCTCACCATTGCCACTGAGATTTCATATCGCTCGAGCATTTTCACACGTTTTTCGACGTTTTGTCCGATCTCTCTTGGTATGCATTCGTGACGATGGCGGACATTTTTAAAAGGTCAATCTTGTCCAGTTGTGTCCCTTGTTATGTTTTTGGACAAAACACAAACGTGATACGTATGTATAAATCTATTTTTTTCAAAAACGATTTTTATGTATACTGGTTAATAAGTCTTATTTTCCCCAGCAGCAGTCAAGGACAACTCTTCCCCCCCTAAGGACCAGTGCTGACAGATTGAGTTCCGAGACGACTATATATATATGTATGGCTATAACGCCCTCCCACTAAAATTTTTAATTACCATGATGCGCACTTCTCCTCTCGTACATTTATTGTCATATTATAGGCGTTTCGGTTGTTACGCTGACACGGCGACGTGTACAATATACGGGTTGGTGGTGTGCGGCAGCCATTTTCGAACGCATATTCGACCGGTTTAATCCAGCTGCAGCTGCGGCGTAAACTACAATAATGTGTACAGCATATTATATTGTACTTATATATGTTGTTTAATTTTTTTTTGAAAAGCCTTTACGGCTTTAGTACGAATATTGATTTAACGTAAATGCCTATAACCAATATCATAAATTATACTAACATTAGAGTAGTCGATATCTTTAATGCCTTGATGCATAGACAATGTTATAAAATAAAATATTTTGTTAACAATACTATGACGAGGAAATCGCATTTTAATGTCTAAAATTATTTATTAGATAATGTTGATAATTTTGCTAAACAAAATATTTAAATTGGGTCAGAAATTTAATAATATAAGATACATTATGCATAATTATATTGAAAAAAATAAAAAAAATTGAATTGTGACACTTTGAATAGGTAGGTATATCGTTAGATACTATAATATATATACATGTTATGCAAAGTGTTAGTATAGGCATGCGCGTGTACAAATATTATAATTATTTATTATTTACTATAACTGATAATTTAATTATTTTAACAAATAAGTTATTGACTTATCCCAGGTACCTAATATTTAGATGACAAATGTCGCACCTAATATACGACATTATATTGTTATTAGTACTGATATTAGATAAACTGATACTGTATTTTATAAGTAAGATCGCAAAGAATTAATGTTGTACATGATGATTTTTTTTACAGATGGATAAATCAAGACGGTGGTGGGTTTTTTAGGTGCATAAATGCTTTAGACTAATGCTAAATTTAGACTTTTTATAATTAATTCAAGTGTATACATGCGTGTGTTCATATTATTATAAACATTGAATAATAATATAAGGTATAAAAATGTTTTTACGGACTCAAAAGAGTTTACATGTACCTATTTTTCAGGTAGTATTTGAGTAGATCCGGAAAATCATCGGGACAATTCTTCAATAGCAAAAATAAACTCTCATGATTGTAGTGTACATTTTTATTCGCTTATCTGGGCCACAAAACTGGATAATTTGAATATTTTTATCCGTATCTATAAATTATAATCCCGTTAGTGCCTTTTACTATATTCGTCAATAGTCAATGAAAAATATTAAACAAAGTACTATTGATAATGGGTGTTTTCAAAAATTAAATAAATATGTTGGTACTTTTTTTTATGAATAATTAGGTATGTATTTCTTATTGTAAAGGTACTAAAAATTATAGTAATTTTATATTCGAATTAATTGTGTATTTTTTAATTCTCAATAGATTTTTTATTTTTTGATTGCAGTACCTCTTATTAAATTTACAAGTATTAACTATAAAATTAATCATTTAAATAATTATACACATAAGATATAACATCAATTAATAATAATTTGGATTCTGTAATACCTCGAATCTTGCGACTGGAGATGGTAGGCGTAAGGAGCGCCTAATATTGTCATAGGTACTTTAACATTCCTGCATCATGGTGTTAGGCTACAACGTTTACATTTAAATCACCTATCACTCACACAGTTTACAGTAGTGTTATATGCGTCAAGCAAAATGTTCGAATTGCACTGGGATTCAAAGAAAGGAGAAATATGAAGCAAAATCGCGGGCTGACGGTCGTTTCAGGTTGCCAGCACTGTGTGCGCGAGATAGTCCCTGGACTGTGGCCACGAATCAGCGACTATGCCGCCAATAGCCATTCCACCGGTTCGTACAATATAATACAGGGAATAGACATACGTCGACTGCAGGTGTCTTCTACTGTTGTGTCTTGGTTATGGGTGGCAAGAGGACGTCGTCAGTTTTTGAACGGTCAGAGGATTTTTTTTCACGCCATTTAAATCCACTGCGGTGATCGTATACCGAGTAACTGGAGCAGAGCAAGTATAATTTCGCTTGGTTTTAATAAATACCTAATAATTCTATTATAATTTACGAGACAGTCGAACTTGACATATTTAACCACCTCAATATCATAGTATAATTTACTAGAATAATATACTGTCTCTACGTCTTCACATATATAAATTGTATTTGTAGGTAGTAGCTATATTAATACGTAGGTGCTTACAAATGATATTATTACTACAGAATACTATTTTTAATATGAGTGTAATATGACGTTTGGAAATTATAGCAACGCTAAGTCAATAGAAATTCAGATAAATTAATTTGGTCATGAGCCGTGACTTATATTTGAGTTAAGCATTATTAGAAAAATATATTCGTTAAAAGGTTGACGAGAATATTAAATAATATTGGAGATTACATTATTTTTTACAATTTAAATCACTCAACATTTATAGTAATATACATTTACTATACAACTTTTAATGTTTTAAAAATAAAAATTTTTCTTAGATTAAAATTAAAGATTTTAGTATTATAAAATACTTGGATTTATTGATAAATTGATTTAATTTGAATTTCTAGATTTATATAGTGTAAATTAATAAAAAATATTAATGCTGAATAAGGTTTAATAAAACCTGTTTATGCAACTCATTAGCTGAGTTTGTCAACTATTAAAAAAAAGTTACCAAAATGCCAGAAAAGTTCTGTACTTTTAAGTTTTCAAAGATATAATAAAAGACAATTATTATTATATTAAAAACAAGTAAAATTGTTATTCAATAATAAATATTAATTATATTTAACTTCAAACCTATATTTCGTGTACATGTGTCCTGGTGACTTATAGCTAGTCTAACAATTTTAACACATCATATTTAAAATGTTGAGCGCGTCTGATCAAGGTCGAAACTGAAAAAAAATTCTGTGGGGGAGGGGGGTCCAAATTCATTTTTACGTTCTAAATGCAAACACTCTTATCGTTATTACTACTTCTACAAAAGTAAAATATTATTCTTAATACAATAGTTAATTAACAGTGTGTACACGTCAAATTGTTTTCATTAAAAAAATTCAGATTTTGAACCTAAAGCAGTTACGGCCTTGCGACTGATTTATATTGTATTTTGATGAGCAAACAGGTGGTAGTAAAATTAATTTTTGAGATAGGTAAATAAAAGCGTTAAACTTTTAGACAAATTTTTCGATGTAAAATAGTATGTAGCTATTCGAAGATATAATTAATTGATTATGAGAACGTTGAAATCGAAAATATATAAAATCTACTCACTGCAGTCACTAAAAGCTATGTATTCATAATAATATTATACATCATTATTACATTATTATATTATATAATAAACTGTTAAATTACCGTTTTAAGATTTATAATCGGGACACTAATTAATCCGTAAATGAATAATCGATGTGTTGAAATTCATACATAATATAATATATAATATTGATATAGCATGTAAATAATAACAGTAATCTTTTTTATTTTGTTACCAGTAGAAGTTTCGACGATCGATTTCATCAAGTGTTATATTTCGACTTCCTTTACTCATCATGATTAATCAAATAATGTATGATGAAAGAAGTTGCTACAAACACTGGTACAAATTCGTGAACAAGATGCATGGTACACGGCGGAGTCCACATTATTTTTGTTGATTTATTTCATTTTTGACTTACCCATGTTTTATTGTTATTTCAATATAGACGTTTTGGCCGATGCGGAATCAGTGAATGTGGTTTTTCTAGTAGGATTTTATTGCTCAATTTGTAGTACCTATGTCATTGAGGTAAGAATTTTGATTTACTTGTTTGCAAATCACACAAAATTAACTGTAAACGTATGCTTATGTATTTTTTAAATATAGATGCGTACGAAACCATGTCACCACTTAACGTGTCGTCGATGTATGTCTGCAGAGTATTGCTCGAAGGAGTGTTCCTCGACATTTATAAAAACGTTTGGGTATCTGAAGTTGAGGGACATATTGTCAAAAGACAAATATATTTTTAATACGTCTGATGTTGTTGTATCGATTAAGATCACAACAGACGGTGAACTTTTGTTGAACACGTACTATCGCAGAAAGAACTTTCAAGTTCCTAGTGATTTCCTGTATACTCTAAGACATGAACACACACCTGCGATATTGTAGTACTAAAACAGTAACAAATTATTTTAATCTTAGAGTTTATTATTATTATTTATGTAGAGTTTTTTATGCTATATAATTATTTTATTTTATTAGTTACTTCTGTTAAAATATTTGTTATTTATCGATTATTGAGATTAAACATACGATCTTTTTGTATAAACTTCGCTTACTTATAACCAGTGCTCGGGACTTAATGTGCTTACAGAAAATAGGAAATAGAAAATAGAAAATATGCGCATACATATGCACCAAAAAAATATCAAAATATGCACTTAAATATATGCATTTATTTTTAATAAAAAAAGACGTTAAAAAACATACCTTGTACATATTACTAAAAATGTATGCTTTAAACATACTTAATTATAAAAAAAATTTGGATTTTTTAACATTCAGCATCTTCTTTACCTAGCAATTAAAATTTTTATGTAATAAAAAAAAATTATTTTATAATTATATTTTATTTGTATTAGTTTGTTTAATCATTTGCTGGGTTTTTGTATTGAACATTTCCCTCCGTTTACTCATTTTCATATGTCTTACTATTTGTATATGTTGTATTACTGCACTAGATCGCCGTTCATATTCTACTTTAATTTCACATATTTTGCAAAATAAAATTCTTCCGTCTGCGGAAAATATATTATCCCCAAATTCCAAAATTAAATTTCTCAACCGACTAATTTGTGTTTTTTTTTCTTCTGGCATATTACACAACAAATACGAGCGCTAATAAATATAAAAAATAACGAATACAAAATAAATACGAACACGACAATGATTGACGATACATGCACACGATAACGATCGTGTAGTCTGTCGATCACTATGTACTGGCAAACAAAATTATACTGTAAAAGACAGATTAAATAAAAATAATATTGTCCTTAGAGCTAAAAATAAAATGGGTTCCGTAGAGCTATTGATTATCGCCTTATAGGTATTATTGCCGACAAAATCATGTAGATGAAATAAATTTACTAAATAATTGTTTTAAGGGTAAATAATCAAAAATCATTTAAAAATATGCAACAAAAATCAATAAATCTTAAAAAATGTGCATTTGTAGAAAATAATTCCAAAACATGCAAACATATTATGCACAGTGAACTTTTAACTTTAACACCAAACACCACAACACAAATTTGTACCGGATCAGATTTATTCTATTTACTTCCCGAACAAATATGCAAATGCATTAAGTCCCGAGCCCTGCTTTAACGATGTAAAATAGAAAAAAATAATAACATTTTTATTAAATAAAATTCATTACATTTTTTAAAAGAATTATTTTCAAAAATGTTTTGTTTTCTGAAATATTGTGTATAATAATATTATTATGTTTAATGGATCACCCCAAGAATTGAATTTACTGAAAAATTGTATGAGTATGAGTATCATACATTATACATAATATGTACACTCAGTAGTTGTGTGAACTTGGGCTGAGTATCATAATTAATGATACTCATTTATTTTTTAGTGTTTCTGGAATACGGAAAACCTAAATAATATTTATTCTTACATTTATATTTGATATGACAGATCAATAAAATCTAATATTAAATGCAATACCTACAGTAAAACAGATTATCCCGAACGTAAAATGTATCATTATGTTGAACGTTAGACGTGGACAACAGTTGATAGTTATTATAAAGGGTGGACAAGTTTAAAATGTATTAATGTTATGTGCATGAACAATCGCTAAACATAAATATTGAAGAATCAATTGTGAACTATGAGATCGAGTTCGAGTTTGGGTACTTGAAGTCTTGAAAAAAAAACAAACAGTGAACAATACTGTTTGAGTCTTTGAAATATTTATAACTAATGGCAATACTAGTCGTCGTATTGTTATAACACATGTTACTGTTGTGTATATGATATATAGGTAGGTCCGGCAGCAGTATTATAAATGTGGGTACAACAATATGAATTATAAGACATAATGTATTATATATTTTAATGGAAACAGACGTGATGTGTTTTGTACGTCCGGTCTACAAGAGAGCGAATATGACTTTCAGACCCAACATTTATCTTGAAAACAGTCCCGAAATTAAAATTGGGAATTATACTATACAGGCTGTAAATAGAAAAGAAGAAAACGAATTAATACTAGTTGTAAAATGTGTATGACAAAAATTGTGAAAATTATGTGGATGGTAAATAATAAGACATTCATACTTATATGTTTATGTGCGAGCAGTAAATGAACATGAGTGTGTATTTACGAGAATCGTTGTTACAGTGTCACCCCGGATTGGGGAACACCACCTAACGCAACTCTCTACACGCGCAAGTATATATGTCAAAACATCGCAACAAATTTAACGTATTTTGTTTTTGCCGAATTATAAAAATATCTAAAAGCAGTTGACAGCAATTGTCTGAATTTCGATTGTAATTTCAAAAAATGGTTGAGTTTATAATTTATTATAAATTTATAAACTATAATATGCTCTTTAGGAATCACTTTTTTGGTTGAAAATCAGATGGGCCAATAGTAAATAAAAATGTATACTGCAATTATTTCTTGGAATTTTCGAAAAAAATATTTGTATTTTAAGGTAATTTGAAAATTCAAATTCATAAGTATATTAAAGATTAAACTACTTATGTGGGACCTTGTTTTAAAATTTCAATCCTAAGCTATAAAAAGGGGGGAAGTGGATGTCACTATGCTGTACATTAGGTGTCTAAGAGGTAGCATGTAATGGATGGGATTAAATTTGAATTTAATGATATCAAATCATTGAAAATGAAAAACGATTCTGCACGGAGACGGTATGTCAATTTAGGATATTTTATATTGTTAGTACTTATTATGGTAGCCGGAAGTTGAATTAATATTATTCTTAAACTATCAGTGATGCTGGGAAAATATTAAATATACTATATAGCGAAACCATTATTCTTTGTGTTAATATGCAATTTTGTCCAAATTTGAACTTAAAATGTCTGTAAAAAATAACTGTATTCATATACTTTTTAGATTTCTTAGTTATGGAAATAAACTGTTTAAGTGGAACCTTGTTTTAAATTTTCAACCATTAGCTATAAAAATTGAACATTTTATACATTTTCAACAACAAAATCATTTTCAATTTTTAACTTGATAAATATTATTAAAATTTGAACTTTAAATGCTTATACAAAAAATTGTGGCTATGTATTTTTAATATTTTTCAACTGCTATTGTAACAAGTTATCAAGAGTCTTGTATTAAATTTTCATGCTTTTTGACCCAACAAATAACATTTTATTGACATTTATAGAAAAAAAAAAAATGAAAATGGAAATGTCCGTCAACAGCCTAAAACGAGTCAGACTATTTTGTCATTATGAATTGATAAAATAAACATTTGGTGTAAATTTCAAGTGTCTACAGTAATTCGTTTTTGCATTACAACAAAATAAGAAAATTGCTATAAGAGAAATCGAGTGACTATCCATATGTTGTAAAAATTTCAACTTCAAACGTTCATAAAAATTTAATTTGACTTTCCGGTAGAATTTTTTTTTTTGATAAAGGTAGACAAACTTGTAAGGTATCTTGTATTCAATTTTTAAATCTTAGATATAAATAGAAAAATTGTTCATGATTTTTATGAATTTTGTTAACATTTTAAGATAAAACACTCATAAGCAACCTTTTGACCGAGCGAAATTTTTTTTATCGACTTGGGCTTAAAAAAAAACAAATAATAATCAAAAATGTCAATTGCCTATAAATAGTTCAACACAAATCAAAATATTTTGAAAATTTTATGTTGTAAAGAAAATGCTTACACAAATGTTCAGTGAAAATGTCATGTATCTACGGTAATTTTGGTTAGAGTTGCACTAAAAAGAAAAATGGTTTTGCGTGAAAATTCTTGTTTTTCAAAATTTGTTGTTTGTTTTTCCTGTTGCAAAATTTGAACGTTAAACTCTATAAAAAAAAATGTTTGCCTATGAGCCTAGTAATAATTTTTCAAGCTTTTAACAACAACGAATAAAACTGTGCTGTCATTTAAAGAAACAAACTAAAAACTTGGAAATGTAAACAGCTCAAAATGAGTCAAAATATTTTACATATACTGTGTAGATCTGTGATATACTTTAGAATTACAATAAAATACAAAAATCGTTCAATGAGAAATTGAGTAACCATCCAATGTAAAAAATTTGACGGTAGATATTTTCTTTTGATAAAAGTAGCCACAAACTTATGAGAAATCTAGCATTAAATTTTCAAATCTTCGATGTAAAAATGAATTTTTTATACATTTCTAAATCAAAATAATGTTTAAATGTTCGTGGCTTAAACGAATTTTGTCAACATTTGATATTTAGACTCTCATAAAAAATTATTGTGGATTTACATAAAATTTTTTTTTAATTTGAAAATATTTGTCTAATATCTAAGCCGTGTGGGAATTTACGTATTCTCAAAATATTTTTCTACGGTACCCGTTTGGGAATTTATCTGTTCAGAAAACCTTTACAACTGGAGCCTTTTAGGAGTATGCAAACAACGGATCGAACCCATTTGGAATGCACCTACCACTGGGATCACTGGAATTTCTTATCGTAAAAGTACTACTATAGCCCACGGAACTGATATGTTCTTCGGTCTGTTTTCCCTGATTATAACTCATATGGGCAAATGTAAGTTTCTACACGAGACCTATCATGTAAAAAACACATATTATGTAAGTTCCCACACGGTAAAAAAGGTCCGTATATTAGTCCCTAGTGTTCCTACACGAGTATAAAAATGATATGACGTGTAAGTTATAATATAACAACTATGTATGTTGTGTATATAATATACATTTTTTTACTATTTATGACATTTTATATTAAAATATATATATCTACTTAAATGTGACGTATTATAAGATTTTTACTTTAGATATTTTTAACTATTATATTACTTTAAATTCATATATAATATAAGGTATATTATATTGAATTATAAAATGTATGAAAATCAAGTGTAAATAGGTACATATAATAATTTGTTTTCCCCTATTATTTTAACCTTTCGTGTAAGAACTTACTTTACGTACCTTTTTTTATTTTATTGAAACTTACACACTTATTACACATCTCATTTTTGTATTCGTGTATTATAACTAACATAAACGTACTTATATTTTTTACCGTGTTTAGGAACTTACACATCTCATTTCATTGTGTATAGGAATTTACACATCTATAATAATATGTAAGAACTAATGTATGTAATTTTTAATCTCCTACTCACTGTTCCCCATTCATATTACAAGTGCAGCGGCAGCCATTTTTTAACGTTACGTTTTGACATTGGTGGTTCTAGCTATATTTCTAGACACGATGAATAAATAAAAAAATAAAAAAAAAATAATATATATATATATGTTTTTATAATGATAAATAAGTCATACTTTATCCAGCAGTCAAGGACGAACTAGAGAAGCATGGTATCTCGAGCCGCTCTACAACACTGGCTTCTCGGTATTTCATCCGTTCTCTATGGACGTACGTTCGTGACGGTAGCAGCCATTTTCTAGCAGCCAATCTTCTCTAGTAGTGAAGCTACCTATATTTCTAGGCACATTATACATGTATTTATGATGCATATCGTCTCACGCTTCCTCTCCTCGAGCATGCTCAGTAGGTGCCCATTATTCTTCGAAAATCGAAATAAGCACATAATAATAATATAATAATATATACATATATTTCTTATTTTCTCCAGCAATCAAAGACAAATATCTCCCCCCTCCCCAACGAGCCCGAGTGTGAAAGATCGAGTCCCGGTACGAGTGGACGACTATAGCTAAATTTCTTTTTATTATAAGGCGGCTTCTCTTTTCTTTGGTTCATTTTTGTCCAGGTGTGTCTCCTAAACACGGCGATACGTGCATAATTAACGGGTTGTAGGCGTGTGGCAGCCATTTTGGAACGTATGTTCGACCAGTTTTAACCAGTGGCGGAGTAAACTATAATAATAGGTGATAGGCACCTATAGTATACAATATTTACCTATATATATATATATTTATGTTTAGATCAGGTATTTTTTTGTCTTAATGCGTATTTTGAGCGTTAACAGTTTTAGTACAAATATTGATTTACATATGTATAATAAAGAAAACAATTACTTTTCAACATTTACTTACTGATTCTTTAAACGATCACCTATCATACCTATGAATGCCTGTTTATCATGTCTATTGAGACTTACAATTAACGTCAAAAACAAAATCATTTTGTCGTGGCAACACCACTGGGACTCCATTCCATCTACCAACAAACTCAAGTCCATAAAAAGTTCTGTGAAACAGTGGTATACGCCCCCGGACCTCAGTCGACGTTAAGATATCGCGATCATTCGTATAAGAATTGGCCATACCTTCATTACAAACTCCTCCTAATCAGCACAGTTTATCCACCTACATATAACATATGTCAAACTCGCATCACTATAAAACACATACTTCAAGAATGCTCCACATACGAATCAGTACGCACATCTCTCAATTTTCCGTAACACATAAAGGAAATCCTCGACGTAGGACAAACTTTAAATATTATCAAGTTCATCACTACATGCAATCTCATCAACAAATTCTGATTCAGTCAATCTAACTGGTAAACACAATCAATAGTTAAGCTGTAAATGTGTAAAAATTTTTTTTTTCTCTCAACTGTAAATGTATATATATTTTAAAAAAAATTGTTGGCAAATAACCTTTGTAGTGGGCGACTGTAAACTTTTAAATAAAAAAAAAATTACAAAACAGTGCTCTCCATCTCGTTTTCCCTAGCCACCGTTGATTTATTAGTTGTATCTAAATTGCTTCAAAATTAACCTATAAACAAAAAATTTAACATTATACAATCAATGACAAAACCGATAAGATACATTAGCATACAAACTGTGGCAATTTATATTATATTCCTATTATATCCACTATGCACTTTATATACATATGACAATATGACATATCGAAACAATAACATAAATTATACAGGTATCTGAATTATATATACCTCAACATGTGTTATTATGTACTTATACAATTTAATTAATAAATATTTTATTTACGTTTCAACACATTCGTAAGGTAAATCCAAATGTATTTTTAAGTCTTAACGTAGCATACTAAATATCTGCTTTTTTACTGTGATATTGAAATACTTGTTAGAAAAGCCACTCAGTAGTAAAACATTATTTTTTTTTTTTATTGAATTTAAATAGGTATGAATCAAAAATGGGTGATTATAAAACCAGAGTATATGCTATCGCTATGTTCATAACACGTTTTATAAATAGTTAAACGATAAAGTAAATAATTTGTTTTCGTATTGGGGTATGTAGTATGTATATAATATATAGTAGGATAAAATCAATTGCCACAATATGTTTAATGTATCATATCGGTTTTGTCACTGACTGTATAATGGTTAACAATTTTTTTTTTCACAATACGCATATCGACTTTTAGGAAAGGGTTCCTTTTTTCCTTTATAAATATTTATAATATAATGTTTATTTTACCAGTTTTTTTCTATTTTTTGTTCTCAGCTAACTTCTCAAACCGATAAAATATGTTTTACGTTGCAGTTTATCGTTTAAATACAATAATATATTGGTACACGTACTATAATATTTATGCAGTACACTAGTGAACCTAAATAAATAGGAAGTACCTTTTTTGGTGACTAACTTCACCCCAGTCTTTCGCATAACACCTGCAGCAAATACGTGCATACATTAACATTATACAACGTACACAATCTCAGAATTTGGAGAAACACATTTGAGCACGTAAAAACGTATGACCTCTGTCAGAACTTTACAATAATAATGGCCTCAGCTGTATGAAAAAAATGTGTACATATGTAATATAATGTATGGTTTTGTATAGAGATATCCTTACCAGACATGTTTGAATGTAGACGTGAGAGTCAACAGCTCTTCATTATTACTTTTTTTTTAGGTACATAAAATATTTTTCGGTTTTAGGCAGTGGGGGGGGGGGGGGGAAGGGGCTTGTTTATTTCGATCTATAGAAATAGTTTAAATGTTGACTTTAGGAGGACGCCATCACCGCATGCTTTGTCTCAATCTTACAAAGGCATATGATAGCAAATTGTGCGTTCTGAATAATTCATATATGTATCATCAATATTATCAAACATTTAGATAAGAACATTATGTGTGTCATCTCGTTGGTTTTTAACGATTTTTTAAAATTTTATTTAAGTTATACGTGTTTTAAGTATAGTCCATTGTATTAGTATCTATTGTCGGCGACAATAGTTGGTAACAGATAACCGTACAAAGTGATAGGGGTGGGGGTGAGCAAACCTTACAGCCAATCGTGGCCACTCGCCAGTGTCAGCTTGTTGGACCCGATGCGGGTCCTCGCTCAGGATATTCATTTGGCGTTTGACGTACGTCCCCATCGGTTGTCAGTTGTAGTTAGCGGCCTACCAACTATAATCACCAGTTTCAGCAGACAAGACGTGACTGTCGTCCATACCTCTATTATAGTGAGTAAATAGGTTTATATATATATTATATTTACTAACTTATTGTTTGTTATTGTGTATAATGTACTACGAGTTGCGTGAAACCGTAGTCCAAGCGTTCCGAAACGTTTCGATTTCCGTTTATATAAGTACTTTCGTCATCCGCCAATCGCCGTAAACGCGCGTGTTTTGATGGCGGCCATTTTGCGTAGCCGTCTGGTATTTTTGCTCGATCACTGTACCTCCACACCGAAAATCTCGGAACGACTTTTTGAGCCTCACTGCTGGAATTATTTTTTCATGATGCGCTTTTTTCTTCCGCACGGTTTGGTTAGATATGCGGTTACAATGTTTCGTCCGTTCTCCATATAGAATATATTTAGCGTGTGGCGAAGGCGGCCATTTTCTCAATGCCTATCTTGTCGTGCGATGATGATAACTATACCTAAACAATATTTGTAAATATATATGGGTATATTTGGAGGGACTATGAAAAAAAATCATTTTAATCACAATATTATTATGGTTCATCATATTTGTTTACAGGAAAAATATTGATTTGTATCTATTATTCACATTTTACTTATATTTTCTTGCGATGGTTACTCATATACGATACCCCCTCTTCTTCGCAGATTTAAGTGGATCATGTGAGCGCCGCCACTGGGTCCACTGAAATTTCTTATCACAACGTTCATTATATCCTCCGAAACTGATGCGCACGAGTGTCCCCCCCCCCCCGCCTAAGAAACAGTTCCAAGCTGATCAAGTCATGCCCTATAGAGCCTCGTCGTTCATGAATAATTATGATGGCTGTGTCTACACATTCGGGCACCCAGCCGTGTATTCTATATTCGATACCCTGTCAATTACTGTGCATGCAGTGATGCCCGAGTGGCCAATCGGACAAAAAAATCCCTCCACTCACTGTGCATCACCACCTCAATTTAGGTCACTAGATAACCGTCGTACCTAACCAATCTTCTCATTTTCTCTTATCACTCACGAGCACTCGGGTATCTAGACACAATGTATACATTATTGTCGTATGTGTTCTTTCGTGGTGCTCTGTGGGGTGGAAAATGGAATTTTTTTTCACCGTAAGGCAACACACTTTCTTCCAAGTTGGTTCATGATTGTTATCGGAGCACCTGGCGATGTGTATAATAGACTGGTCGTTAGTATGCGACAATCATTTTCAAACTCATATTTAACTGGTTTAGTTCTGAAGGGGCAACCATAGCCAAAACTCTGCGCATATTACATTGTACTTATATAATTATTTTTTTAAACCGTTAAAGTACAAATATTTAATTTATATTATAACCGATAATATACCTGTTATTTAACGTTATTTTATCATAAACACGATACTCCTAGTTGTGCCCGTTGTAAGTTTGAATTCATATGCTTAATGTATATATATATATATATCAGTTTTTATAATTTATTGCTTTTTTGTAAAATATATTTTTAAATCCCTTAGCATCTTCGAAGATTCAAAATCATGGCAGATCGGTCTCCAAGTACTAATCCTCCACATTACCTGAAAGTCATTAAAAGTAATTAAACCTAAATAGTTATTATGTTATTTTTAAGGTTTTTTTTAAAATTTAAATTTGATTAATTGTAATATTATTTTGTGTTAGCGTTCAACCGGAGTGGTTCAAATTTAAGAAATAGAGTCAATGATGCAATTGATGATCTTGCCATTCAAGCATATACGGACAAAATGCACTGTCAATTATGCGCCATATTTATAGTCATGGTAATTCTTATATTTTATTTTTATATTATTAGTCCCACACTATGGAAGTAACAAAATAATAATAATGTGTATTCGAATGTATTTTATAAGACCGCAAGGAATTCATGCTGCTCCATATGCTTCAAGGAATGGATGAACGAGTACGACGATGATGATAATCCCAATGATAATATTAAGTGTAAAAAGTGCGATCGACCAATCAAGAACGCGCTGGATAACAGAAGCCTTGACTTTTTATGTAATCTAGTTGGGCTCAATGAAAAAAAAAAACCAGGTAAGTGTTTGACTCTCTGCTGCTCAGTAGGTGACATGTGGGTCACTGACTCACTGTAATGGGTGTGGTTAAATTTGATTTGAAAAGATTCCAAGCGGAGATAGTTTGTCAGTCTAAGATATTATATATTATATTCATATTGTTATTATTAATACGGTAGCCTAGGTTGAATTATAATATTATTTGCATATTATCATATTTGTACATGATGATATGATTTAGAAGTTTCTAATACCCAAAAATATTTGTAATAATTACAACAGAAATCTAAAATCATTATTCTTTGTTTATATATCTAATTTCATCCAAATTTGACTTATATAACTATAAAAAAACTATGTTCATATATTTTTGAATTATTTGGTGGCAGTATTACTTAACTATTTGTCGGAACTTTGTTTTAAAACGCATTAAACCATTATTTTTAAATCCAAACTTATCAATAATATTTAATATGTAACATATATCATGTAAGCAATTGAAAGTTAAACTCTTTGATGCCAATGTCCACAGTTGCCGAGGCTTAATAAAAAAAAAAAAAATGTATTTAGTATAATAGATAGTTCATTTTCAATTTGATAATCCTTGTCAACATTCGAACTTTAAATCGTTATGAACAAATATTGTCTTGGTAATTTTAATATTTTTTAACTGATATTGTAACTAAGAGTGTGGAGCCTTGAATTAATTTTTCAATCTTTTTGACCTAACAAATAAAATTGTTTAGTCATTTAAAGAAAAAAAATCAATAAACATTTTAAATTTAAAACGTCCTTAAACAGCTGTATTGTAAAAATTGTTTGAATATGTTTATAAAGTATAAAAAATGATTAAATAAACTTATGCTGTAAAAATATGTATAGTATCAACGGTCACTACAATAAAATAAAAAAATCTTTCCATGAGAAATCGAGTAGTTCTAATCTGTAGAACCAAACATTTGAAATAAAACTCCTATAAAAAAATATTGTGGATTTACTCTCAACTTTTTTTTTTAATTTCCCCTTACATCAACTTACAAGGAACTTTGCATTATATTTTTAAGTTATTTACGGGAAAATTTTTTTTTATAGACATTAATTTAAAAAAAATTTTAATAACCGAAAATAGTATAAGCTTATACAACTAAACATGAGTGAATATAAAATCTATTTTTGATTAAAAGTTCCTGTTTTCCTTCATTCATTTTTTTGCTTTTCTTGGAACTTTTGAAAACTTCTGGAAATTTTGACCTCCCCAATGCACCAACTAGATTCACTTTGTATTCGGAATAGGTACTTAAGTCGAAAATTGAACCATTATTTCAACTATTTATCGTGAATACGCCACTTCTACGTTTTATTCTATTACTGTAATTGCTATACATTAAAACTTTTATAATATTCGCTGTTTATTATTTCCATCACAAATTATTATTTTTATGATGCTTTTAATATGATATACTAATAAAAATAAATTAACCAAGTCCTAAGAGGGTAGGGATCTTCAACTTTAAAACTGTCACTGGTTTGGTTTTAAATTTAATATTTACATACACATATAATATGTGTATAAAATTTTGTTATTTTTAAGTGTTTAATTTTAATATATACCTAACTGAGCTGTTAAATTCTGCTAAATAGTGTTTTAAATTTTTTATGTTCAATCTAGGTGGACATTTTGGTTATCCTGTATTAGGCATTGCAGCGATGGATCTGTTATTCGAGAGCATCAAAATTGAATCCGAGACCCTTGACAATGATTCAGAGACCAACATAACAGATTAATACAAATTCATCAATATTTACACATTTTATGATTTTATATGTTATAAAATGAAAAAAATGTAACCAAAATTAAAAAATCATTAATATTTACTAAATCTTACAATTATTTTAAACAAAGATCTTTTTATATAGCAATATATGTCAACAATAGCTAGATATCAGCTTTTTATATGTCAATGAAAATGAAAATGTTTGTCATATGCCACTAGGCAGTAACACAAAAACTTTATTTTCAGTAAATCATAAAATATTTTTCAACGTTATATAAATCCAAGAATTATCAATAATATTTTTTTAAACATTTAAGAGATGGTATGCAATTGTATTTTTAAAGAGTAAACTATATCATACAAAGTAGAGTTTTTTGATACATTTTGGTGGGTCTTAATGGACTTGCTGTTTATTAGCTTATATTAGTCAGAAATGAAAAGCAGTAATTACACTTTTATTTGGAGTTAATGCCCTCTGCCATTTGACGCGTGTTCATAACGTGATGTTTATGTGTTGTACAAATTTATATAATCTTTAAAAAAGTTTTAATCACATGTCTATTTTATAATTACATCACCTCAAATGTATTTTTAATTAATACCTACATATGGTAACATCTCATATAAAATCTTCAATATTAAAACAACTATATGAACACATAATTATTAAAGAATCAATAGTGTTCTAATGGTCGCTTTGAAATTATTTGGTGGCACGTGGTTGGACAATTACATTTTAGTGAACAATTTAATTAATACATTTTGTTTTTATTTTTATTCGCTTTTAGCTTTACTATTAAAGATCAACAATTATATAAAACAACATAACGAAATAACAATAAAATATTTTTTAAAAAATACAAATAATTAAAACAACAATTAACTTAAAAGTAAATTCTATTTATACATTTTTATGTGACCTAGCATAAGACACAACACACAATAATATAATATAGGTTCATTTATAAAGTAAGCTGACCACGTGCACTCCAATGAAAGATAAAATGCTAACTCTATATAAGACTAGCTTGTGATAAAGAGAGCAGTATATTATCAGATATAATTACTTATATTATTAAAATTATGTGATGTTATAATATTTGCGGTCTTCTGGGCTCCTGCGACACAGTTCGGGCACGAGTAAATAGCCTATATAATTATATATTGTGTGCCGTCGGCCGACGGTTTGTTCTTCTTTTCGCACAGTTCATAAGTTAACATTATTATGTTATAATATATTATAATAACATAAAGGATGGGTCCGACTCTGTTTTTTTCTCGAACTGTTCGAGATCGAATGGGTATACTTTAACACAAATCCATTTTTACTCAAACTTTTTTTCGAACTTTCCGAACCTTCGTATCAGATAACGACATAACACGATTAGAAAATCGTGAAAATTAAAGATATGTATTCGAACTGTGAACACCCCGAACTTTGAAAAATTCAAATACTTCAAAGTTCTTCGGAAATGATGTAGGTACTCGAACTTGGACGTTATTTCAAACAATTCGAGGAAAATCTAGTTCGATATCAATACTTTCAAACATTTTATTGCTTCAAAGAGGTATTTAATAATATTTTGACAAAAAAAAAAAAATTTTGGTACTTAAATACGAATAACACCTTTCCGACCTTTACAATATTAATTCGGCGCATCCGTGTTGGGTCCCGAATAATAGGGGCTAATCGCAGGTAGTGTACTAGTTGAGTCCTGGATTTTAAGAGGTGCTATACTAGTTGGGTACAGAATTATTATAGGTATTCCACTAGTTCCTGAATATTTTTCGGTAAGTACTACACTATACTAACATTTTCATTCCCATTTTAACAGACTGTCTATGATCTATTTAGACCACAAGTATGGTTAAAAATGTTTTTTATAGTTTTTTTTTTAAATATTAAAGTATAAGTAATTGATAGTTAGTAAAAATATTATAATAATTTAAAATGTTATGCAATAATATTAATACAATTTTATTAAATTGAAAAGTAAATGAAAAGTACTTATACGTATATAATATGACTATTAGGAAACTCGTAATAAAAAAAGACGTATGTTGTTTTCGAGCATTCGTGTTATAATTTCAGTGTTATCGGTAATATCTGATAATTTTTGACATATCTTATAATAAACTTTCTGGAACAGCGATAAATGCCGGTTAAACCTCGACGAATTGGTTAGGTTAAAAAAAAAACTGCAAAAAACATTTTTAACCATACCTGTGGTCTAAATAGATCATAGACAGTCGGTTAAAATGGGAAGGAAAATGTTAGTATAGTGTAGTACTTACCAACAAATATTCAAGAACTAGTGTTGTAGTTAAAATAATTCAGGACCCAACTAGTGTAGTAACTATAAAAATCCGGGACCGAACTAGTGTAGAATCTAAAATAATTCGGGACCCAACTAGTGTAGTACCTAAAATAATTCGGGACCCAACTAGTGTAACAATTATAAATTCGGGACCCAACTCGGATGCAGCCTATTAATTGCCTCAGCTGTATGAAAAAAAATGTGTACATATATAATATAATATTGTATGGTTTTCTATAGAGTGTAGGCCTACGGGCAAATGTAAACTGGGCCCGCGATTACCTTTTTTGTCGAAAAACTCGGCCCGAAAATTTTAGGTAATAAAATAGGTAGATTGTAAACTCGGCCCGGAAATTTCACTTAATAAAAAAGGTCGGTTGTTATCTCGGCCCGATAATATTTACGTAGGAGAAGATGCTATGTTTCCACCGGATTTCTGGGCCTGTGCATCAGTTGATACGTTTTTAACAACTAATGCATGTGAATCGTTTCATGCGCATTTTAATTCAAGTTTCAATTCCACTCTCCCCAATACATATTCCGTCATTGCGAAATTAAAAGATATACAAACAGAAACGTACATTAAAATCAACAGCCTAGATGCACCATTCCAATTTCAAAATACGAAAACTAAAGAGAACTCTTAGAATGAACACATACAAAATATAGAAATAAAGAAATATCAGTAAGTGAATACGTTAAACACATGGCTTTTTACTTAAAAAAACTTATTTATACATTTTATTTTTACATTTTTTACAATTAAAAATTTACATAAATACATTTTACAGTTCGTAACGATTTTCATACTATGAATAATACGAAAATGAAAAGAATGTTGGTAGGATATTGAGAATCGCCTCCTCGTGGCGTTCTCTGGGTAAAGCTAAACGGTTCTTAAAAATATTACAAGAAAATTATATAAAAACATTTTATCCGGGCTGAGTTTGCACCTAAATAATTTTTCCCTGAAAAAAACACGGGCCTAGTTTCCAATAGACCTTTTAAACATTTTTTTTCCTCGGGCCGAGTTTACAATCGCCCAGGCCTACTAGACGTGTTTGAATGTAGACGTGAGAGTCAGGAGTTCTTCATTATTATTATCTTCTGTTAGATACATACAATTTTTTTCGGTTTTATACCGGGGGGGGGGGGGGCTTGTTTATTTCGATCGATAGAAATAAACAGTATAACATGGTTATACATGTTATACAAATGGTAACCAAAAAAAAAATAGTGCGTTGTATATTATTAAATTGTTATACCTTATAAGTTATAACTGCACAGTTGATGTTACTGTCGTATAAAGATGGGTACTGGAGCTGCAGTATGTATAATATAAATGCGGGCACAAAAACAAACTTTAAAGTACTGTTAGGCAAATTAAAAAAACATCCCTTCAGTCAGCATGAGTTATAATGTTTTTTATTAATTATACAAAATATGAATAGTACCTTACATAGTAAAATGTATGTCACTATGGGTATGGCTTCTAAACTGTTCCAAAGGTACATTATAGTATTATACAGTATACTTGATTCATTTTAATGCTTAAGCATGATATATACATTATATACTTAAAATGTGTATTTATTAAATCTCTGAGAGATGTATTTTATGAAAACGTTATATTTATCTATTACGAGTGCGACATCTGTTGAACAGTCGATTTCCTTTTTCGGACGGTCGCTGCAGCGGCTACATGGAATAATAATAATAATAATAATAATAATAATAATAATAATAATAATAATAATGGTCGCTGCACATTTGTTTTAAAAACAGATAAAAAAGGATCTGAAAAACGAGGTACTTCTACATTACGAACATATCGCAGTTGTCCGTACGATAATTTGCCGAACCAAAAGCGATGACTGTTCGCTCTCGAAAAACCTCACTAATCTCGGTAAAAAATTAGTACGCGAGAAGGAAAATTTTTAATTTAAACAACTGTACAAACGAAATCATTTAAAACTCGAATAATTATAAAATATTCGTTTATAATTATTCGGGGGAAGTTATTGCCGCTCACCACAACCCTTAACCACATCAACCGGATAAACAATGCACCATTATTGAATCACGACTATTCACCTCATCACGCCGAGGAAGGTTTAAATGTCGACTTTAAGAGGACGACATGCGCCATCACCGCATACTTTGTCTCAATCTTAAAAAGGCATATCATAGCAAATTGTACGTTCTAAATAATTCATTTAACTCAGTTATGTGTAATCTTAGAGGGAATTGACATATATTGAATTTAGAAGTAAGATTATTATCTAGACTATGACATACGGTTTTTTTTTTATATTTCAATTTTAAGGCAAGTTATGAGCATTTTAAAATAGTAAATTGTTGTCTTCTTAAGAGGGTGTTGCACCCGCATATGCATTGTCGTCTTCGTCTTCCTCACACGTACATTTTCGTTGTCTAGTTTCAATAGTGTGCTGTTAGTCTTGATATTAGTGCGAACTGACCTATTATTAAACATTTAGATCAGAACATTATCTATGTTATCTCGTTGGTTTTTAAAATTTAATTGAGTTATGCGTGTTTAAAGTATTAATATTTGAAAGTGCACATAATTCACTTAAAAATTAAAATATCAAAACTAACAGCACACTATTAAAACTAGTGAACGAACAATAATTGGTATGCCGTACGTCTGTAAGGCGGAGACAATACATGCGGGTGTGGCGTTCTCTTAATACCTCTATAAACGTGTCATTTTAAACTTTTAAAGGAGTCATTAAGGCCATTATTTCGTTCCTTGTCTTCACTGATCGTCTCTGTGTATCTAGTAAATTATAATTAGTGTATGTATACTGTATACTGCCCGACACTCCGACGCCATACACATACTTACACACACGCGTAGACATGTCGTTTAATCAGTTTATCAAAATATTCAAAATTAATTTATGGACATGAAAAAGATATACGCCTGACAAAAATGTAAGTATACTTCCAAAGGTTTGTTTAAAAGATGTAACAATGTTTGAACAATCAAGATTACTTATTGCATCGGTCGGAGCGCTTT